CGTCCCAAAATCTATTCACATAATTTTTAACAATTTTTTGAATAAGGGCATGAAAACCTAATTCAGCTATTCCTAATGCATTGTACATCTGGTTCAATAGTTCCAACCATTCTTTGCTCTGTCCACATCCTTGAGACAAGAGGACCATTCCTAACAACACTTTTGCTTCATTATGTTCCTCCTCTACAACCATTCGTATGTATGTTGTTCACAGTTCAGTATCACCCATTTTAAAATATTTTCTCGGGTAACAAAAACATTTTATAAGATAATTATGGGTTTAATAAATAAAAAAGGTAGATATAGATTGTAACGCCCCAAATTTCAAATACCAATATTAACTTAACATGGTCCCAACACTTCTAAAATTCGAAAATTCAATTACTAATGTCATTAATAATAATAATAATAGCGGAAGCAAATAGGAAATTTAAGTGAACACTTGGTGCGCTACGTCTTCCTCAAAACTTGTCGCCTTCTTCAAGTCTGAGCCTTATCCTTTCCATTCCCGCTGCCACTTGCTACATTATTTCCTAGGTTGCGTGCATTTAAAGATTCTAGTGGGTAAGCCTAGGGTCTAGTGAGTTCGTGGGTTTTAATGCATATTGACGTCAATAAAGTAAAAATAATGCAACAAATGATCAAATATAATTTTTTTCATTTTTTTTCCACCCTTGGTGACACATTAGGGAACTGCTGTCATTTCCAGGGAACAAGTCCCTCCGCCGGGCACAACAAATATGCTTACGACTAGTTAATCAGAGCGTAAGCTCTCCGCCGCGTACCGACACCCTGTACGACGACTAATAAAAAGACCATGTAGTTAATACACCTGTTCCCTATATGTCATCCATCATTTTCACCTTCTTATATGAAATAATTCATAAAAATTCACACAAATATTCATAGCAATAACAACAGTAACATGTAATTGCAAATAATTTAGAATCTTTTCATGCAAGCAACCACAAAATTCACACGAAACTCACCTTGTCGGAGTTAGGTGTTAACCAAAGTTTGTCGCGCTACACGCACCCTACATTTAACCAACATATTTTTCTGAAGCTCGCTTCTAGAAAACACCCTATGGGATCATTTTGGTTCAACCGTCCATATGTCTCATCCAACCAAATCCAACCAAATAATAGTTATAATTTTTTTTGTAATATATATTGCAATATTTTTTTTGAAATAATACTTTAATATGAATAAGAAAATGACCCCAAACTAAACTAAAATGTTTTTATGGCACAATTCAGCAACTTCCAAAATATATTTTTAACCATACAATATAAAAGTACATAGGATAAAAAATCGAGATGCATTCATTTCCATAACTTCAATTTAATCAACAAATTTATATAACTCACGCCTAGATCTAAAATTTGTGATTTCTTTGATGATAGCAAAAATTAAATAAAACTGAAAGTTAAGGGTTAAAAATGTATTTCTTGAATAATTGGAATAATAAAACGTCCATAAAGGTATGAACAATGACCTTCAATTAGGGGTGAGCATGGTGCGGTTCGGTGCGGTTTTTGTATAAAACCGCAACCGCAAATTGCGGCTTTTTAAAGCCAAAAACCGAAAATTGCGGTTTTGATTCGGTTCGGTTTTGCGGTTATTTTTGCGGTTATTTCGGTACGGTTTCGGTTTTTAACCACAAAATGAGGTGGTGCGGTTTTTCGGTTAAAAGAGTGCGGTTTTTCATGTTCAAAACAAAAAATTTAGTCGACTTTATTTATTTCTTGATTTTAATTGCAAATAAATCAAAATTTTGGTCCATTTTTATTCTTTTAAGTTGCATTTTATTAATCGGAGTTGTACCAAAATTGAATTTTTCGGGCATACGAGAAAAGAGTCCAGCCGAGCATATTTTATTCCATTCAAACAATTAACAATATGTCTAACACTTACTAACAACCATTACACACCAAAAACTAAAGGAAATGAGTGAGAAACGAATTGATTCAATTTTTTGGAGTCCCGCTTCGTCAATGAAAGATGCGCATTCCTTCGATTAGCCAATTTAATTTTATTAATTAAATATAATTATTATAAATATTTAAATAATTTATTAAATTATGCGGTTTGCGGTTATTTAGGTTAATTTGGTGCGGTTATTAAACATAAAACCGAACCGCACCGCAATTTTCGGTTTTTCAAAATTAAAAACCGCACCATCGCTTTTTGTTTCGGTTTCGGTTATTCGGCTTCGGTTTATGCGGTTATTTCGGTTTTTTTGGGTTTCGGTTCGGTTTCTGCTCACCTCTACCTTCAACCATTCACACCCATATTGCCCAGTTGACTAAATAAAGCATATTTGACTTTCATTAAATAGATTGTACCAAGACCCGTAAGTGCTTCTTCTTCACCCGAAAAAAAAACATTTTATTTTCTGCCATTTTTTTAAATATACTGAAGTTTGATTTTTCTCAAAACGATATCAAATAATTTAATAAAAACCACCATTATTTATCTCCACTTCTGTCTAACCATAACCCATAAACAATTAGCTAATTTCGCTCCATAACCCAGTTGATTAAACAAATTATTGCATAAAAACGTTCCTTATAACTTTTGTCGATTTGACACTGATTGGATCGAATTGAGACACTAGGTTGAACCAAAATATGTTTAACACGCATATAAATCTATCTAAGCAACTAATCAAGCTTAAATTGAGTGATCATACCTTAATTTCAAGAGAAAACTCCAAAAACTTTTCAAGACTTCCAACCCCTATCACTCCTTCGATTCTTAGTCGATTTCCAAAATTCTTGTGGGGTTTACACTCGATTTTTCGTGCTATATATAATGCCTAGATGCTTAACCGATGAAACCTGTCCACTAGCTCGAATTTACTGCCTAATCAAAGTGACGTTTTTTTAGATATCAAGCCTCATAATTTGTCACTGCACCATTAACTTTGAACTAATCATTATTTTATATAATATGATTATATTTTTTTTATTTTGATTATTACATAGATGATCGCAAAATAAAAAACATACCACTCCCACCATCAACAAAGATTCAGTGTTCCACATAAGGAAACACTTAGGTACCGTTTGATAGTTTCTGTCGGAGAAAGTGTTGTCTTGTAAAGTGCTGTCTGGGAAAGTTTTCTGACTGGGAAAGAAACCATGCTGTTTGATTGTACATCTAATTGACTGTGCTGAATGATGAAAAAATGTAATAATTCAATAAAAATTAATTTTAATTAATAATCCAAGAAAGAAAGAAAGAGGTGTGGTTTGGTGCATAATTGTCTTTCCAGCCCATTCAACCATAAAGATATGATTTTGGGGCTTTCTGGGAAAGACATATCTTACCGGGAAAGATCTTTTTTTTGTGCAAATCAAACAGTATTTCCGGTCCATTCAGCCAGAAAGATCTGTTTGGATCTGGAAAGATGAGTATAAAACGGGGCCTTAATAATGTATGTTTTCAACCTCCATACATGGGGGTTATGATATTGACTACGCCAATCAATTTTAGATAGATGGATTCGATTTCAATTTTCTTACACACTTGATTCTCTTCAGCAACGTTCAGAAAGGCTTTGCAACTATATATAATATTAAATATGTAAAATTATATATAACAAAGGTATAAAACATTTACAGTGTAAAGAAATTAATATATACCACAATTTTTTCTCTAAAAAGATACTTCGCAGAAGCAAACCCCACAGGTGCGAGAATATCGATCAAAATCTCACCAGGAAGACAAAAATTAGAAGTCATAAATGACTGTCGAATTTTTTTAGATGCCATTTCGAGTATACAATTTAAAAACACAATATATAAAAAGCAATACGTACTTTGGGTATATATATATATATATATATATATATATATATATATATATATATACACACACACGTATATGATGATCTATGAATTAATAAGGAACAACAAAGGGTTTCCTGAGGAAGGAGAGTAATCGTGTGAATAGGGAAATGATCGGTTTCCGATATGATAATTGATTTTATTTGCGGATGGCAGCAACACGTTATGCTGAAAATAAGTTGAAAAGACAGGGCAACCCTAATTAAGTTGATATTATCCTAAATAATATGTTTTTTATTTTTTTGTTGGATATTTCTAAGTATTTGCAAAAATAAACGGATATACAGATAAATATAAATTTCATATTTAAAATTATATGAAAAATGTACATATAAATACGACAAGCAACTCGTGTCATAGCTATGACACTACAATTGATGTCTGATACCACCAATAATCCATATCCATGACCGGTATACAAAGACTCGCACTCATATCGTGGACCCCTGGCTGATGAGTGAGAACATACGAAAGGAAAAGTCACGTGTCTCAATCCATGACATTGGAGTGATAGTTGGCTGGAACCCCCAATGCATGATCCATAACCTCGAGTTTGAACACACAACCCCGCACCCATACCAAGCAAGGTCCCATGTCGAAGAACATAAGAAAATCAAGTCGTGTCTTGGACCCATCTGATACTAGATCGATCTGATGATCCCTAACCCAAATGATCCATATCCACGACCCACACTCGTAGCACACACACACCTACCATGGTCCCCTGGCTGATGATCGAGAAAAAACGAAAGGAAAATTCTCGTTTCTTGGTCCATGACATTGGAGTGATGGCTGGCTGGAACCCCCAATGCATGATCCATAATCTCGATTTTGAACACACAACCCTGCACCTATACCATGAAAGGTCCCATGTCGAAGAACATAAGAAAATGAAGTCGTTTTATGGAACCATATGATACTAGATCGAGCTGATGACCCTTACCCCAAATGATCCATATCTACAACCTACACTCACACCACCCGTACTCGTACCATGGTCCCCTGGCTCACGATCGAGATAACACTAAGGGAAATGTCTCGTGTCTCGTTCCATGACACTGGAGTGATGGCCGACTGGAACCCCTAATGCATGATCTATAACCTCGAGTTTGAACATGTAGCACCGCACCCATACCATGCAGAGTCCTATGTCGAAGCACATATGAAAATCAAACCTTGTCTCATGGCCATATGATACTTAATCGACCTAATGACCCGTACCCCAAATGATCCATACCCACGACCCACACTTGTACCACTCGCACTGGTACCATGGTCCCCTGGCTGATGATCGAGAACACATGAAAGGAGAAATCTTGTTTCTAATTCCATGACACTAGAGTGATGGTTGGCTAGAACCCCCAATGCATGATCCATAACCTCGAGTTTGAGCATGTATCCCCGCACCCATACCATGTAGGGTCCCATGTCGAAGAACATAAGAAAATGATGCTTTGTCTCGGACCCATATGATACTAGTTCGAGCTAATGACCCCCTACCCCGAATGATCCATATCCACGACCCACAGTCATACCACCCGCATTCATAAAGTGTTCCCCTGGCTGATAATCGAGAACACACAAAAGGAAAAGTCTCATTTCTTGTGCCACGACACTTGAGTGATGGCCGACCTGAACCCCAAATGCCTGATCCATAACCTTGATCTTGAAAACACAGCCCCACACCCATACCGTGTAGGATCCCATGTTGAATAACATAAGAAAATCAAGCTTCATCTCTGACCCATGTGATACTAGATAGAGGTGATGACCCCTACCCCAAATGATCCATATCCACGACCCGCACTCATACCACCCGCACACGTACCATGGTCCCTTGGCTGATGATCGAGAACAATCGAAAGGAAAAGTCTCGTGTCTCGTTCCATGACACTGGAGTGATGGTCAGCCGGTACCCAATGCATGATCTGTAACCTCGAGTTCGAACACCCATCCCTGTACCCGTACCATGTAGGGTTCCATGTCGAAGAACATAAGAAAATGAAGCCGATGATCGGACTCATAGTATACTAGATCGAGAAGATGACTCCTACCCCAAATGATCCATATCCACGACCCACAATCGTACCACCCACATTCATACCGTGTGCCCTTAGCTGATGATTGAGAAGACATGAAGGGAAAAGTCTCGTGTTTCTATCCACGACACTAGAGTGATGGCCGGCCGGAACCCCCAATGCATGATCCATAACCTCGAGTTTGAACACGCATCCCCACACCCATACCATGCAGGTTCCCTTGCTAAAGAATATAAGAAAATCAAGCCGTGTCTCAGACCCATATGACACTAGATCGAGCTGATGACCTTGTTGGATATAGTGTCTAAGTCCATAACTTTATTTGGTATGAACTTGACCCGACCCGGCATGGTCCATTTGGGTTGCATGGCATTCCAATACTTGGATAGACTAAATGAGAGAATAAGGCACTTAGGATTATTAATATATTATAAGTTCTAATATATTAATAATAGTATTATTTAATTAGTATTGATCAAGTATTAATCTAGTATTAATTTGGTGATCAAAGTGAGACTAATTAAATATATAGGGTTGATTATGACAATCATTAATGCTTTTATGGTGGATTAATGATCCATGGTTTATGGGTTATGGATGTAACCATTTGGATCTCCATGGATAGTCCATGGGAGTTACAAACCCATGGGTCATGAGAAATAAAGAGTCATGACAATTAAGGGCATTCATATGTAAACCCTAATTGTGACAACACTATAAAAGGAACCCTATGGCTAGCAAAATCATGACCTAGTGTTACTAGAGAGGGCATAACCGATTTTGAGTGCTAGAAGTATTCTCTCAAGTTATTCCAAGTCTTGTGGTGTTGTGTGAAGCATTTGAGGCACAACATTTGGGGTGCTAGGCTCACAAAGTCTTGAAGGAATCCACGCAACAACAAGGTATGTATTTCTACTAGTTTTATGTTCTATGTAATCCCCATGCCATGCTAGTTAGGAAATAACCTTGAAAAAGAAATTTGCATGTATATAGAGAAAACATAGATTCAAGGTTATTAGGGTTGCATGTACACTTAGAAAGTGTTAGAATGCTCAAAAACCCCATCAGTGGTATCAGAGCCTAGGATTGTTTTCTGTATACTTGTTGCAAAACTGCTTAAAAATCGAAAATTCTGCACTCTGACGACTGGACTCGCCGAGTCAATGGGGAGGACTCGCCGAGTCCATGAACAAATTCATCCTACTCGACGAGTAGAATAATGCGCTCGGCGAGTAGGAGCGTGCTGGGCAGTTTTTTCGAGTTTTGTTGCTGGAAATGGACTAAGATCATTATCCCAATCTGTTTTGGACTTGTAAAATCTGTTTTTCAAAATGATAATGATTATGTTAACCCATTTTACATGACTTTTATTAATTTTCAAGTATTGTATATGTTTATATGATTTTCTTGAAATTGCTTGACATGAATTTGTGTTCATATGAGTTTAGAAGATCATATGAATTATGTGTAACCTCCATGTGTGTTTAATTCATGATCTTAATGACTATGATGGTGTCCATAACTTGTCCTCAAGTTATGGATAACCAAAAGTCACTTCTTTAAATTGTGATTAAAGAACTGAAGAAGTTTCATAAAATGAAGAGTCTTCATTTTTATGAACCATTAAAACTCATAAGTTACAAATTGAAGAGACTTGGAATAGTTTCAATTCTTGCCCTCAAGTTTTGGAATTTGAAAAGTCTTACACTCTAATACTTTAATTCCAAATTAAACCTTAGATTTTTAAAAAGTTTAAAAATCAACACTTATACTATTATTATAATTTTATTATATAGATATGTATAAAAATATGTCATTCTTACCGTTAGTAGGCCTCATTCACGAAACCGGTCTATAAGGGGGGTATAAGGTTGTTGCCTATAAAATGGTGACTTAATGGGTGTCCACTCTCACCCACCGCTTCCTTGATCGGTGGAGGGTCGTTAGCCGAACGGGTAGGATACGACTTTAAATACTCGTTAAAAGTATAATGAATTATAAAGTAACTATACATTATAAATTCCCAATCTTAGTTACTTTAGGAAAATGTGAAATTGGTGCAAGCCCATAAAATTACACTTTGTACCTTACCAAGTCGTTAGTGGAGCGTGTGTGGTTAACCGGCACACTAACATGGACTAGTAAGAGTGGCAAAGGGTAACTTGACCTTATTATAGATCGGTGGAGCGTGTGTGGTTAACCGACACATCGATTAGGTAATATTGTTGAGGGTACCAAGTCAATTTGTATGGTTATTCACACCTTGTTTGTGATCCTCGGCATCCCAGTCACAAACTTGAGAGGGCACAATCGAGATTCAAACATGCCATTGAAAAGTTCAATGTATCTCAAAAGATCTAGGAGTTTCAAAACCAATAAAACCTAATAATAAAATATTTCGTTCTTATGGTGGAAATTGGTAAATCGTCATTTACCTACCTTCAAATATTTTATAGTATGGATTACGACATCCCTCTTCCAACTATAAATAGTTTGTTGGATCCTAGCCTTAATATTTCATTTGGGTGAATTATTAAGGATTCCTAATCTAATGAAACTTGTCTTTCTTTCCTTTAGATGTCTTCCAACAATGCTTCTGGCTCAAACCCAACAGGCTCCTTTTCCCTTATGAACTTGTGTGGTAAGGTCATCTTTGATGGATCCAATTTCAATGAGTGGATCAGAAACATCAGAATGATTACCCGCTATGAGGACAAAGAATATGTCCTCGATAGGGAGCTTAAGGTTGTGAGTGAAGCCACTGCTACTCCTGAAGAGTTTGCGGAGTTTGTTGCACATGAAAAGGATGCTACTAAAGTAGCATGCATCATAATGGCCACCATGACTCCTGAACTTCAAAAATCCTATGAAGATTTCTACCCCTATGAGATGCACCTGGATCTGATGGAAAGGTACCATCAGAGCGCGTGTCAGGAGAGGTATGAAATCATCTCCTCCATGATAACCGCAAGGATGAAGGATGGTGAACCCATCACCGGTCACTTGCAGAAGATGCAAAGGTTCGTTGACCGGTTGCTGAAGCTAAATGTTGACTTTCCTGAGGAAATGGCGATTGACATCATTCTCCATTCCTTACCTCCAAGTTATGATCAGTTTCGTATGACTTATCATATGAACAAGGAGGAAGTCACACTTAGCAAACTTCAAGGACTCTTAAGGACAGCTGAAAATGGCCTTAAGGGTAAAGCGGTTGCTACTTCTACTCCTTCAACAGCCCCTGTTCTGGCTATTGGGCAGGGAAAGGGTAAGAAGAGGAAAAGCCCTTCGAAGGGTACCAAGGGTAAAACTCTTGATGGTTCCTCTTCAAGTGGGACAAAGAAAGGTCCCATTACTCCTTCTTCAAACCCAAAGGAAGCACAGTGCTTCTATTGCCAGGATAAGGGACACTTCAAGCGAAGCTGCCCTCAATATCTGCAAGATGTAAAGGATGGGAAGGTTAAACCCACCCATGCAGGTATTTACACAATATTGTCTAATAACTCATCTAATGCTAATTCTTGGGTGCTTGATACAGGTTGTGGTATTCACATTTGTACTGATTTGCAGGCACTAAGAAGAAGTGAGCAAGTGGAGCACGGGAAGATAAACTTAGTCATGGGCAACAGGAAAGCATCACCTGTTACCAAGATAGGAGTTTATTCTTTATTGCTTAATAATGGGTTAATGTTAGATTTGAATAAGTGTTGTTACTCGCCCGAAATAGCGAGAAATATTATTTCTTTTCATGGCTTGTACAAACAAGGTTTTTCATTTTCATTTGATAATAAAAATGGTGCTATTAATGTTTATTACAATGATGTATTTTACTTTAAAGCATTACCTTGTGATGGTGTATATGAAGCCGTGAATGTTGTAGACAATCTAGGAAATAATGTGTTGTATATTGATTCTTCAGATAGCTTGGATAAAGCATCCTTGTGGCATTGTCGTCTTGGACATGTTAACAAGAAGCGCATAGGCCAACTCCAAAAGGCTGGAGTCTTGGAATCATTTGACCTCAAGTCAGATGATAGTTGCGAGTCTTGTTTACTTGGAAAAATGACAAAGTCACCCTTCACAGGTACTTGTGATAGGGGTGAAGGTTTGTTGGACCTTGTACACATGGATGTGTGTGGCCCCTTCAGAGTTGCTACAAGGGATGCTAATCGCTATTATGTGACTTTTACTGATGATTACAGTAGATATGGATGTATTTACTTAATCAAGCATAAGTCAGAAACCTTTGAAAAGTTCAAAGAGTTTAAGCAGGAAGTGGAGAATCAATTGGGCAGGAACATCAAGATGCTCCGATCCGATCGGGGAGGAGAGTATCTTAGCATTGAGTTCCTTGACTATCTTAAGGAATGTGGGATTGTCTCACAATTGACACCTCCCAGAACA